TAATAAATGATTGATTTTTCATTATTTATTGATTTTAAGCTCATGTTATAGCTCACTTAATCTCACCCTGTATGTGTACTACCCAGTTTTCCCCGAAAAGCTCTTTTTGAAAGAAGCGTATTGATAGAAATGGTTTATAAATAATCAGAGTTCTTTTTAGCATCAAAAATTCAAAAGAATTATGATGAAAGTATTATAAACGATCATCTTTATAAGATTGGAAAGAAATGTTTAAGGAAGGAAAGTGTTTACCGATATGTGCTTCGCCAGTATATATATTTGCAAAAGTTTTTAATGGTTTGAGTATTTTATATTGTCCGTTTATTGGCTTCGAAAAAATTGACATAAGTAATCCTTCCCTAACTTATGGATTAGGAAAAAGTTACTCAGGTGTTCACTTTTTGATCGCAGCACATTTTCTTAGGACTTATTAAATTAAAAAGATTACATTATCACCATACCTAATACCCTGCAATTTTGGACGTTGATATATACCAGAATTTTTAATTTTATTATATTACATTTTTTACAGACTGCATGATTTGCTTCTCATTAACTTTTCCATGTCACTGCGAGTACCTCTTATCTCTAGAATCCGTTAATCACCATTGGACCTTTTCCGATCGAAAGCTCTATTTAGTGGCCAGGAAGAACTACTCTATTGGGTATTACGCCATATTGCACCTTAAGTTCCTAGTTGGAAGGCATATTAGGCAACATGTATCTGTGCCCTTCCTATATTCAGGATAGACCAGTGTGTGCTTCTCAGATCCCAGTATAAGAGGAAACTCCCGTCAATAAAACTATGATAATTCATTTAAGTTTCCCTTTTTTAAATGATCATCATTCCGTCGCTTAGAGAGCGTGGTTATGCGTGGCACACGTGATCAATTGGTATTACCTGAATTCAGCTTTAGGGCGTTTTATAAGGTGAACGGTTTGGGCCTCGACAAAAAGAACCGAAGGCCAATAGGTGAGGGTTACTGTTATTGCGGGTTTCAGAAAAGCTCCTTAAAGTATGACAACTAGAAGAGAGGTTAAAAGATGATCAATTTGTTGTAGAGGTGCGAATACACATGAAAAGTAAAGAGTTGCTTTGCCGAGGAGAGAAATAAAATAAAAATAGAGGAAAAACCTGAGATACCTACTTATACTTAAAGATTAATCCTCCTGCCCAAACCATGCCGCCTCGGTTACCGGGTGCCCTGTCCGTAACAGCATCCGACCAAGACGCTTTCTCGGAGGTCATCAAGATCCGTATTGCAGGTGCGGTCTCCTTCTGCGCGAACTGAATTATGTCTTAGTGAAGAATGAAGATTTGGTACATGATGGGCTACATTAGTTTACTGTGCTGCAGCAGTTTCGATATGGTCACCCAGCGCCTTTAATCATCGCCGTGAGGATTTCGGTGTATTCTCAACGCTCGGCTAATTTCTAATGTTTTGCCAATATTCATCAACTAAAGGTGCATTGACTTAATAGTTTAGCATAAGAGGTTGCGTTCTCTATAGGTAAGAAAATAATAGTTAGGGCACTTATTGATTGAAAGGCAAGAGAAGTTGAGAGAGGGGAGTTAAACTTGAAAAGAAAGAGAGCGTTAGGGAGAACGACCGTGGTTTAATTGGGCTTTCTAATCCTCAACTTAGAATTCGATGCGCGCTCTTCCTGCCCAAACGTGCTCATTAAAACGCCACCGGTCTCTAAGAAGTGGTCGGGTGCCGCATGACTGATCTGCGTGATTAGTACAGCGTAAAAATTAATATGCTCGCCAACTTATCCACCTTAAGCTGCGCGCATCGAATCAAATATTCTTCTTGGCATGAGATAAAATGTCGTTATAGATTATCTAATTCTCTTGACGCGTTCCTTTCGTCCGCCGCTCTCTCGTTCATTTTTTCTCTCCTACAATCTATTGTTTAAGACCCTCTCGACATCCTAAGGTGTATGTGTTAATAAATGAATACATCCTTGTTGGGGTCTGGGTGCCCCCAAATTTGAGACAAATGGGAATAGAAGGAAAGATCGAGACGGAAGAAGACGCTCATGATGAACTATTCATCTGGGAATAGTCACCCTGCCGATACGGGGCTTGTTGGGCGGTGCTTGGCACGGAGATTTTTGGAATGATATCCAAGTTCACACTAATCGATCCCCGCCCGTGAGTCTTGAACGAAATGGCGCCACGTGTGTACGCGTCCCTGTTTGAAACAAGATTGTAGAGGCCAGTTTATGTTTGGACTGAGAATATTGAGCCACAAAAAGGCCACCTCCCATCTTGCCCTCTACGCTCATTTCTGTTTTCTCCTCTCTCTCTTTCTTGTCATTTTATCGTAGGACTTCCCGTTTGCTCTCTTTTTCTTCCATTATAGGCATAGCTTAGTAAACGCTTCTTTTTGTATACACTAAAGCCTATGAGTCTCAATTTGATTTATCTTAATCGCTGAATGGTATGATTTTTTGGCAAATAGAAAAATCGTTATAGTGGATCAATATGTGCCTCGGGTGTTTTGTGTACTTTTTGATTTATATGTAGGCGATAGATGCTGGATTTTCATTCAGTCAGGCCTATTAAGGATAAAAAATTTTTACGCTAGACATGTAGCAAAGCTATTGTATAGAATTAAATTGGCATCGTGCTGATCGTCTCTCATAGACTTGTACAGGAATAGCTTGGCATCGCCTCTTTTAAGAGCCAAGTTTTCAATTTAAAAACTCATGCATGCCCCAATGGATACAATGGTAAGGATGCCTCATTGACATCTCAAAGGACTCTATGACTCCTACATAAACCGTCTCTTCTTAGTAGATCGGCTCCTCCGCACAGCATTATGCCATCAACACCCATCACAATAAAGGCCACTCTTGCCTCCAAAGCCAAAGCTGTAAGACACCTAAGCCTTCCTAAATCTGAAAACAAAATAACCACTACATCTGCTGGAGGACGAATAGTGGTTTTAACACAGAATTAAGGGTCGTTAGCTGGCTATCCCTTCCACACGGGAACAAAAATCCAGAAGTCGGGCGAGATTATGCCTCTTGTGAGATATAGCTTGTAGTCCCTCTTATGCACTCGTTCAGATCTAGGTCGGCCTAACTATCGTAGTCCTCCTATGTCTTAGGGATCGACGGCAAGGGTTTGATTCCAAATCACCCCTTAAGCCCTCAACCTTCGAGGCAATATCATCAACAAGTGTTTTCTGATGTTAGCCCCAATTTTAATGAAATCCATTAAACAAAATTAGGTTTGTTAAAATGCAAAGCTCAACCATGGTAGTTTGGGACCTCTGAGTTTCACCTCGAATCAAGTGTCCTACTCGAACTCCTTTGGTTTTCTTACCAAATCTAGATCTAAGTTGATTCCATCTCCTCCTTGAAATTCCTAAAGGCCAAAACCCTTTAATCAAGACTTTCATGATTTTTTTTTTAAAAACAACAAAGAACAAACCTTTTAGCCAACATTTAACTTCAAAAGAAAAAAAAAAAACCACTAGTTTAATCAAAAGTGTTCCCAAATCAAACTTGGGATGTAATTAACCATAGGGGCTTGCCCCTATGGGATGTCTGTACCCCAGAAATAAATAAACCCCGCTCGACCAAACATCGAGTGGGGGAATCTCTGTTAAATAATTGTAAATTTTATGATTGAGTCCATAAGGAGATGATATTTTTACCCTCCGGGGTAATATATCATATTCTTATGCCGTGCCCGATTATAAAATATGCAATCCGTTCGAGGATACAAAAATTCTCCAACAATGTTTATGAATTCTCCTATAATATTAACATTTAATATATGCATTGCTCTCCTATTTAGTTCTATACTCCTGAGATTGTGCAATATTGAATAGTCCCCTCTGAAGTGAATTGAGAGGGGAAGGAGGATAAGTTAATGGCTTACACTCAATTCCATTAGAATACGCAAATCTACTTACAACTGTTAATAAAAGGAGCCAATGGTTATTAGTTGGAAGCTTGCGATTATGTCATGGTGGGTGTGGAAATTCAAGGAAGTTGTTTTGGAATCGATATTGTCCTTATGTTATTTCTTTTTGTATATCAGTTGAATGATATAAATAACTTCTACCATTTTTTTTCCTCATATCATTTGAACATATAGCTAACAATCTGAGTGCTGAATTAGAATAAATGATGGAGGTTGAAAGTTGAGATGAAATGGAGCTATACACGACCAAATGTAAACCTGTAATCACAAATATTTTGGTTTCTCATACATTCATTTTCTACAAAATATGAAATGACATTGATTCAGCTCTCTTAAACGCATTATTACCAGCATAGTGTTCTTGTTCTACTCCATGTGAGGTAGAGAACCTAGAATCTTTGGCCTTGAAGACTTTTTACTCTGGGCTTCCCTCAAGATCAATGAAGACATGGAGGAAATTAGGTAGAAGATTGCTTGGAGCAACCGCATGAAATTTCCTCACACACACCTCCCCCTCTTCCTCTCAAAACTCTCCCACAAAATTATCACAACAGCCAATAGACTCTATTAGAGTCTCTTGAGAAAGTTTAAATACAAGACTTCCAAAAAACCTAATTTTTCAAGTTAGCTATTTCTGATCGTACAATATGATATGGGGTCATAGTATGATTAATTCAATGCATCTTGTTAGTACTGTATGATGAACAAGAGATTGTACGATTAGTTCAAATCTATGTTGCACCGATACGGATACGGCGACACAGATATGACACGATACGGATACGGGACACGCCAATTTTTTAAAATACAAGATACAGTAATTTATAAATCATATATAAAAATTAAAAAAGCAATCAAAACATAATATTTGAAATTACAAAAAAAAAAATGAAAGTAACATCATTTGTAGTCTTGTAGCTTATAATATCAAAATAAAAGTAAGCATTAAATGTCTAGTACAATAACAAAAGCATAAACATAATTTGCTAGCACATGAAGTTTCAACTATTCAATAGAAAGAATGATATAATTAGCTTCTTCAGTGCTTTGTCTTTGAACTTCTATATCCTCTTCAATAAATATCATAGCTTCTAATTCATACTCAACAAGTGAAAGATTAGCAGTTTCTAATATTCCCATATCATCAAGAGACTCAAATTCATCTCGAAAATGAGAGATCCTAGCTCAAAGCATCAGAAGTAAACACGACGGGTCTATTTTTCATATTTTTTTTATTTATTTTTCAATGAACATCCATATTGGATACACGTGTCCTTTTGAAATTGAATAGCATTTTAATTGGATACGGCAAAGCCGTATCCGACATGTATCAGTGTCGTATCGGAGGCGTATCCATGTATCAGATATAGCACGCCTTCATAAATAGGTGTAGCGGTGCAACATTGGTTCAAACATTTGAACTGATCGTCCAGTACGATATCAAGAGTCGTATAGTATGATTAGTTCATTCGAATAGGATTTTCATCCCGTATGATTGTTGGTAGTAAACTATTCATTTCGGGAGCTAATCAGGTCATAATGTATGAATCAGGACACTGTACGGTACGATATGTACTCTCAATTAATCCAGATTTGATTGCTTAATTATAAGATTAAATTAGACAAAATTTAACTACATCCTCCAATACGATTGTAATTGTACAGTATGATTAATTTATTTTTGAATTTCAAAATATTAGATAATTTATGATTGGCAACAAAATTTTTTATTTCTACTGATCATCCTGTACGATTTGGATCATACAATACGATTTGTTCAAATTTAAATTATCTTAATTAAATGTTCTAATTAATCTATATTTTATCCAGATCGTATAGTATGAACTTCATAGAAATTAAAAATTTATTTTTGCTCACCAATGTGTATGTGCATGTGCACAGTCTTTAAACTATCATATACCTTTTACAGGACATTTCACTGAAGAAGCATAAAAAAATAAATAAATGAAAATGCGGAATCTTTCAAAAATATCAAACTTATTATACTCAGTCTTGCTTGATCATTAATTGCACGGTGTGCGTTGTACTTAAATGTTTAGTGCTCATATGAAAGGTATGCAATATAGTACTATAAGAAATAAAATAGCAATCTAATAATGTTTATTATCATCAAATTCCTAAGCTCAAGGCCCCGAATTACAATAATCTCTCCCTTTTTTATGATGGCAAACATTGTTGGCTAAATTCTCAAGTTTAATTTATTTTCTCCTAATCTCCTCCTTACTGAGTTCTTATGAAAATAGGGAGAGATTTTTTTTTTAAACATATATAAAAAATAAGCATAAGAGCAAATATATATCAAAAAACAACCGAACTAAAAACACCAAAGATATAAATACATACTACCAACACCCTATACTAACATCATACTCTCCATTTTGACATCACCAAAAAGGAGAAAAAAACAAGGATAAAGACAAAAGACAATATAAGACACAACAATAAAAAAAGACAACTACGACATAATACACAAACATAGAAGTATGAAGGACCCTGATCAGGTGGAGGTGATGGATGAAAGTACAAGTGGAGAGTAGAGAATTGATCGTTTAACCGGACTCTATCTGACTCGTGTTGCTGCTGAAGTTGATCATGCTACTGTTGGTGCAGCTTATGCTGCTAGTGGAGTCACTCCCAATGCTTAATCGTCTTATGATACTATGTTGTCGCTTGCATCTCCAAGCGGTCAAGTAACTTCACAACTGAATCGTAGTTTAAAGGTTGGTGGGTAGGAGCTAGTGCTAGTCCCGATGCTGGATGTGTTGTGCACTAGTGTTGTGCAAATCTGTTAAGACCGTATAGTATGATGGTAATCGTACAGTACAATGTGTACAATTTTTTTTTTATTATCAGGGAAGGTAACTGAGGAAATTTCACAATCAAATACACATACAACAAACCATAAACAGAAATAGTCTACTACAAATAATCAACAAAAAGAAATAAATAACATAAGAAAACAAACACACATTAAATACTTCTATATTCTTACCTCATTATCCTTCAAGCATTGATATCAATAACACATAGTCTAGTTATAAGTGTATTAAAAGTCTCATAGCTAAGAGATTTTATAAAAATATCTGTCAGTTGATTTTCAGTAGCCACATGATGCAGTTCAATGTCTCCCTTAGCTAAATGATGTATAACATCTATATGCTTTATGCGAGAATGTTGAATTTGGATTTTAGAAATGCAGATAACACTAATGTTATGACATATGATTTGTATGAAGCCTACAGAAAGTCCAAAGTCAAGGATTTGTTTCTTTAGCCATAAGACTTGAACAACGCAACTTCCTATAGCTATGTATTTTATCTCAGCGAAGGATAGTGCTACTGAATTTTATTTTCTACTACATCAGAAAACTAATGATTGCCTTATTAATTGGCAAAGGTCAAAAGTGCTTTTCCAGTCTATTCTACATCCGACAAAGTCTGAGTCTGAATACTCTATTATTTTAAATGAAGAGCCATGCTTCCAGATACCTAAGTTTTTGGTGCCTATAAGGTATTTAAGAATTATTTTAACTACAGTCATATTGGATTCTTTGGGATTGACTTAGAATCTAGCACATAGACAAACACTTAATAATATGTTAGATATGTTGGCAATCAAATACAAAAGTGATCCTATTATCCAATTATTTTAACTACAGCATATTGGATTCTTTGGGATCGACTTGGAATCTAGGACATAGATAAACACTTAATATTACATCTGATCTGTTGGCAGTCAAAAACAAAAGTGATCCTATTATCCACCTATATACTTTTTATCTACTTAATTTTTCATCCATATCATTGTCTAATTAAATGGATGAGCTCATTGTTGTATTTATTGCTTTAGCACCTTCCATATCATATTTGTTTAGAACTTTCTTAATATACTTGCTCTGGATGAGAAAGGTACCATCTTCCCTTGGCTTCACACAAAATACAAAAAAATATGTTAACTCTCATATCATACTCATTTCAAATTTTCTACTCATAGTTTTAAAAAATTCATTGCAAAAGTTTTCATTTGTTGATTCAAACAGCATAGCATCCACATATATTTGAACAATAAGTAAATCATTTCCTACTTTCTTAAGAAGGATGGTATTTATACTACCCTTAACAAATAATCTATCTAGGATAAATGTACAAAGCCTTTCATATCATGCCCTAAGTGCTTGTTTCAACTCATATAAAGTCTTTCTCAATTAGAACACATGTTTGGGAAAAGAGAAATTTTCAAATCCAGAGGTTTCTCTACATATACATCTTCCTTGATAACCCTATTTAGAAAGACATTTTTAACATTCATTTGATATAACTTGAAGCCTCTAAAGCATGCAAACACTAATTGAACTCCAATGACTTCTAGTCTAGCTAAAGAGTCAAATGTCTCCTCAAAATCAATAGCTTCAGTTTGATTGTACCCCTTAGCCATTAACCTAGCCTTATTCCTAATTATTGCTCCAAAATCATTCATCTTTTTCTTGAATACCCACTTGGTACCTACTACACTCTAGTCCTTAGGTCTGCTAACCAACTCTCACACATCATTCCTAACAAATTGGTTTAACTCTTCTTACGTAGTTAGAATTCAAAATTCTCAGATAAGGCATGGTCTATATTTTTGGGTTCTACCATAAAGAATAAAATGTCCCACAAACCTCCTTCATAAGTCCATGTATGGTTCTCACTCCTATAGAAGGATATCCTTGGATGAGCTCCCTAGAATGACTGATGAGTATATATATTCTCTAGGCAATGGCTATTGAGGCTCTTCTTTATCTCTTAGATCAATAGACTCTACTTCTTGAGTAATCTCTACCTCTCCATCTTCTTCTAACCTAGGCTCACCAAATTTATTAGATTCATCAAACACTATATGGGTGGACTCGTCTACAATTAAGATCCTCTTATCAAAAATCTTATAGGCTTTACCTACAGAGGAATAGCCTAAGAAGATTCCTTCATCAGACTTAGAATCAAACTTTCCTAGGGGAGATTTTTTATTGATAAAAATAAAACATTTAAACAAATGTGTGAGATTGAGTGTCCTTCCCTTAAGCAACTCATAAGATATTTTAATTTATTTTGATCTAATATTCATCCATTTCAAAACATAACAAGCAGTATTTACTATTTCTCCCCAAAAATATCTAGGGAGAAAATATTTAGCTAGCATAGCCCTAGCAACTTCCACTAATGTTATATTTTTTCTTTCAGTTATTCCTTTCTGTTGAGGGGTCATAGAGGTAGAGAAATTATGTTCTATTCAAAAATCCTTACATAAAGATTCAATTTTTTTATTTTCAAATTCTCCACAATATTCACTATGGATTGTGAAAATTATAAGTCTCAACTTCCTTTGTATCCAAGTGGAGAATATTCTAAATTCTTCAAATGACTCGCTTTTATGAGATAAGAATTTAATCTTGGTGAATCTTGAATAATCATCAACAATCACATATCAATAAGTCTTCCCACCTAAGCTGACTGTGCTAATAGGACCAAACAAATCCATATGTAAGATTTCTAGTGGTCTACTAGTGGTGATATCCTTAATGAAATGAAATGATGATTTAATTTATTTTCCTAATTAACAGGCATCATATAGATAAGCCTTAGAAAAGGCTAACTTGGGTATGCCTCTAACTAGATCCTTCTGAGTGATCTTTCTAAGGGTATTCATGCTTGCATGGTATAGTCACATATGCCATAACTATGATTCATCAATAATTGTTTTAAAACAAAGAGTATTTGAATTATCAATGCAAGATAGATAAAGCATGTAAATATTATTTCTTATTTTTCCTTCTAAAATCAATTTTCCATTTAAAGTAATCATGCATTATAACAACAACAATAATAACAAGCCTTAATCCCAATGTGGGGTCAGCTACGTGAATTCTTTTTCTTTATTGTATCTTGTTAAGAGTCAAATTCTCTTTTAAATCTAATAAAGAAAGGTCATTTCGAATATTTTCTAAGCAAGTCTTTTTTAGCACACATCTTCCTTTCTTAACATAAGTCAAATCTAATACATCTACTTTCTTAACTGGGTCAACGGAAGGTCGTCATTTTATGTGACCAAACCATTTAAGGCGACTCTCTCTAATCTTATCTTCCACTTGAGCTACTCCAACCTTTCATGTATATGCTCATTTTGTATCTTATCTCTAAAAGTAAAGCCATTCATCCACCTGAGCATTCTCATCTCCGTAACACTTAACCTAATTTTATACTTCTCTTTTAATGGCCAACATTCTGCACCATAAAGCACTGCAGGTCTCACTACCATCTTATAGAGTTTCCCTTAAGTTAGAGATGGACTTTTTTATCACACAACAAGCCCAATGCATTCCTCCACTGCAACCATCCAACATGAATTCTACTAATAATATCCCCATATGTTTCACCATCACTCTGAACAATAGACCCAAAATATCTAAAATGTATACTCCTATTAATGACTTGATCGCTCAAAGTCACAATCCCCCCACTAGATCTATTATTACTAAAATTACACTCAATTTATTCAGTTTTAGATAAACTTTAATGAAATAAATATTTTATATCAAAGCCCTTATCACAAAGTGACTAATTCTAAGCAAGTTGTGTTTTAATCCATCTACTAAAAAAATATTTTAATTAATAATTTTTTTTGAATTTCCAATCATACATGTGTCCACCACTTTTCTAGTGGTGTTATCATCTAGTGTTACCTTGCTTCATGCCCTGGCCTCCAGTGTGATGAATTGCTTCATGTCTCTTGTCATGTCTCGAACATCCGTTGTCTAAGTACCACATGTTTCACTAAGTCTTTTAAGAGAGCATTCCCATAAGATTAATCATTGGTTAGATTTGAGAACTCAAGTGAGTTTGGGCTCCACCTTATGCTTTAATGAATGAGTGAACCTCCACATAATATGTGTTCTACGTTGTACAGTGCAAGTGTGAGCTGTGTACTACCATACCACATAAATAACATCTAATCCCAAAGAATAAAATCACTAATCTATGTAGGGTATTGTGCCTCTTCCTAGGGATATGAGATGATGCATGTTGTGCTCTAATGGGTGCCTGTTATGCTAGTGTAGGTTGAGGCTTTTGTGGTAACATAAGCAGTAGTGTATTATTTAGAAGTGCATACACTTTCTTTTTCAAATGCTCATTTGCACTCCTATAACTCTGAATTTTAAATAACAATGCATGCTCATTAGAGTACAGTTCCATTCCCACTCTCTCTAGTTATTCAAATTTTTTTTTAACTCAAGATGCTCTAATTTCAAAGATTTATATGACTTATTTAATTCAATATGCTTCTTGTTTAATTCATCAAGTAGAGAAGCATGCACCTTATTTAAAGTAGAATGTTCAACTTTAAAATTTTCATGCTCACTGGTTACAATATCATGCTTACCTTTTAAAATAGAAAATTCAACTTTTAAACTTGCATGCAATGTCATAAGCTTCATATATGAGTCATGAATCTTTTCAGAAAAATAAATAGCTCATTATAGTATAATTGGCATACCTCATCTTGATTAGAATTATCAAGATTATCATTTGCCATAAGGCACAAATTTGTTACCTCCTCCAATTCTTGTTCTGACAAATCTGAGGCAAAGTCTATCTAGAAAGCCTTCTACAACATTTGCTTCCCCTTTTTGAAATTCATCTTTTCTTTACCCTTCTACTTAATAAGGTGAGTTTTTAGGTTGAGGCAATCAGACTTTAAATGCCTTTGATTCCTGCATTCAAAATAAATTACATTAAATGAACTTTTATT